TCATCTTTAAAGACTTCTGCACGCCATTTTTCGAGCCGCTCTTTCATTTGAGCCAAAAAAAACATTCATAAAACAGAGAAATTCTGCCCTGAATTAGAAGAAGAAACCCATTTCGCTTCCGTACTTATCGAAATGCAAACAAAGACCTTGTATTTGATGAAGTTTGTTTCGTATGTCAGCAAGAATTCGGCGAAAATTGTTTTTCTTGTCAATTGGGAAAATCTTCCTATTTTTATCCATTCATAACTTTTAGGGTTGTGTAGGAGACTTACTGTCCGGTTCAGAAATAGAGGAAACTGACATTAAACACATATAACTTCGATAACATAAATCTTAGAAATATGAAACAAGTTTCAATTGATGGGTTGATTAGTCATCTCATCCTATACGGAGTCTCATCCGTTAAATTCATTAACGTTAATATATTGTAAGATAAATGTGAATCAACGCTCGATTTTAGGGGGCGGGAGAATCATGAACATTGCAGCATTCTTACAGTTTCAAAAAATGATGGCAAAAATATGCTGATTTTTATGGTGATTGTGGCAACATTCACAAGTACAATCGTGAAGGAAGAATTTAAAAATTTCAAGAATTATTCATTTTTTCGGCGAAACCATCATGCACGGTAATCTCAGAATTTTACAATGCATGTCATCTCGCCTCCATCTCGGTCTTCATTTCGGATACATAAAACATAGGGCAAAGTTGATGAGTTCAATTCTCTTCGAGTTGAGATAGGAGGAGAGAATATTATGTCATTCGAAACTGAGGCGATTTCTCCAAATTAAAGTCTCCTCGGGGTCTCGTACGCAGTCGCAGTATAATCCTTCATAGCATAATGTTCTCCAGTCGAAAGTGCCATTTAACGTTACAAGTGCGTGAATTTCATTTTTGACGAGTGTTGCATTATAGATCGAGCCGAAGGCGAACACCTATCGATACCTTCTCAGTTTTTCTAATGAAAATACTTGCAACCTTTCATGTGAGTACATTTCTATGAGAAGCAGAAGAAAAGATGATTCAACAAGAGTCAAATAAATCAAGACAAAGAAAGAAAGAAATTCAACAAGTTCGGCCCGCATAATTCATACATTTTTCCTAGGATATTGACTCCTTCTTCATACACTTCCAACACGGAGAAGTATGAAAGAAGCATGCCATTTTTTTTATTCGAGTGACGTTTGTCACTTTACATTACGACGTGCGGTGAGTGCTGTGAACAGAGGCGTCACGGAACGGAGCAGAAAAAATTTCAGGTTTCCTGTTTCTCCACGAATTAAGAATTGTAAAAATTATTCTCATGGGGTTGTCAATGCCACTAGCTTGACAACTCAAAATTAATTGTGAGAAACGTGATACGCCGAGCAAGTTCGTCATGTCCCTTATGCTTTTGCCTGCGGCGAAAATACGATGAAGAAAGTGATCAACTGATGAAAAACTTAGACGCACAACTTCAAATTATGATTAAACGTTAACAATTTACTCCTTTAACAAATGACCGGATGCATTTGGTTTCTAAAAATGTTTAGAGTTCGAGTGGTTGCTGTTTGTAGTGTTGCTTTTAATTGACTTACAAAATATAAATTTTTGCGAGTCGAAAATTTTGAGTTGCGAGTCTCTAGTCCTTTGCTATTCAATTCAAAATACATCATCATAGGAATTACATTCGCAAGCAAATTGCTAATTTATTAGAAAAAATATATTGACCATGTTGTAATGAAAGTAATTTCCCACTTGTTGATTTCAGTATCCAACGGTTCTTGATTTCAGTCTTTTCTCGCTTCAACTTAGTATGTTTTCGGTACTGAGTTTCAGTTATTTTTTCACTGAAGCTAAGTAAATAGTTTCTGGATCTCACGACTATGTTCTCTAGGACCACGAGTTTATGGATATACTGTGGTTCTGGAAGCCAGAAACTTTTTTGTTCTTTGACGAGTAATGTAGCGATTGTTTTGAAATTAAGAACAATATCCTAGATTTGAGAACAGAGTTCTTCATTCAATGACCAATGTCCTTATATTTAGTACATTCGTTGCAATTAAAGAAAAGACATTTGTATGTGATTTATTGTGTTACAAATAACGTATATACAATATGATTCAGTTGATGTCTTGAAATTCTTCTGAGAAATGTATTCACTTATCGTAGATGCGAAACAAGTTTTTTCTCAACAACCAGTTGAAATATTTGTGCACACGTACACGCGAAATTGTCGCGTATTGAATTCCAATGCTCTGCTTGCGCCAGGGGCGTGAGTTTCGCGGATGCAATTTAAATAAATTTACCCAATGACTGCGAATACAGTACTCTACAGCGTATATCTGGTAGCTGAATATGGAAAACACTAAAACTAATTAGCAAATTTGAAATTATTGTTATTTTTCAGGATTTAACAGAATAATTTTTGTTTAATTATTTGCTCAATTGAGTTTTTATTAAAATTGAGATGCACAGTTTTGTTTATATTTGGGTTATGTTTTTTTTGCCAGAGATGAAAATTTTCTACCCCCTAGGATTACGAGGCATTGGGATACCTGAAAATGAGAGAAATATCAAAGTAATAAACTAGATCGGAGTAAACTGAAACGAGGAACATTTTAGTTTTTTACCTTTTTGGCACAGAAACACGATTATTTTTTCAAATACTCCAATACTCCTCGCGAGATTATACGCTTTTAATGCAATGAACGAAATTCATTGCAGGGAGCTCTGACCAGTTCTGGTGGTATTTCAGTTCAACTTGGGTGCATCCGGTTTGAGTGTTATTAAAAGCGGAAATTATCAACCAATGAACATGAAATTTTTTATGTCGGTAACGTTTGGGGCTAACTGGAATATTCATCACATGCTGAAATAAAAATAGAACATCAACGTACGAGTTGGGAAAGGGTATACTTCACGAATATGAGGTTCGTATCGCATTCATCCAGTGCGGCCTTTTCCAACGAGTGAATTATATTACTTTATGAAGCATTGGCTAAACAAGAAAAATACATCTAGAAAATACTATGCGGGTTTGATGCATAAGCTCCGCGAATCTAACTCGCAGAGTGAATGGTGATAGAATAGAATCTACGTGGTGACGCATATCCGCATAATCAATCAAAATCGAGTAAATAAAATTGACGGGAAAAGCAGATATCGGCATAATCATAATTTTGAATTAAAGCTAAATTTTGAGCAAGGCAATTGTTATATTACTCACCAATTTTTTCATTATTAAAGTAATCATGAATTTCAATATTCAAATTCCGAATTATTTTATCAAATATTTTATTCAAATTTCAATGAACATAAGTAAATCTTAATTATTCTAAGCTGCAACTTCTCATAATATTACTAAAGCAATGATAGATGCCGATCTACCGACGGTGTTGGCTGTGTGGTTAAAGTGTGCATGTTTTTTTTTCGTAGACATTAGGTATAACAGTGTAAAACCATATGTGGAAATATTTGGCTAAATAAACATGTTTAAAAAAAAAAAGTGGTTAAAGTGTGGGATTGGCATGCGGGAGACCCGGGTTCGATTCCCGGCTGGGGGGGCCAAAATTTGTGACACTCTAAATCTCATGGTTTCATTGTCGAGCGGAAGTTTCGCAAGAGACGACTGTACCTGGGCAGGTTTTTCCCTCAAATGAGGTTTTCCCTTGTCCTTCGGCGAATGCGGTACAGGGGGTTGGGGGGTGGGAAGGGAACAAATCGTAGACCCGAAAGGGTATACGAGAAGAAAAATTAATGATAGATGCCGATCTATGGGCAAAATTGTATGTACAATTGATTACACGAATGCGTCTCTTCCCTTCTGTTCCAGGATCATTCACCCTATGGCAACTGTACAGACCTACCTAATCCTACCTAATCAAATATTCAAGCTCCTGAAAAATCGCACCAAGTCGGTTGACTTGGAATTTTTATCAACTCGTTTTTATCACGTTATTTTCACAATTTCCATTTTTTCGTAGGTTTCCTTAATTGTATTTAGAGCTTCTATGTATTCAGTGTTTGGCACTTTTCGTGATTTCACCACTTTTTGTAAACAGTTCTTTTGCAAAAATTTATTTTTGTTCTTGGGGAGATTACTATGTCGTCATAGCATTCCGTTTTATGACTACGCTAATTTTTACTATCTTTCTATATTATAAAAATTCAAATCGACTTCTAGTGATGAAAATTTGGTACTCAAAATTAAAACTTCAAAATTAAAGGTCATAATAAGGGTTATGAGGCGCAAAATAAGGGTCATGGGGATTAAAATAAGGGTCATGAGAGTCAAAATCAGTGTCGCGAGAGTTATAATGAGGATCAGATAAAGGATCCAAATAAGGGTCACAGCGGTCAGATTAAGAATCACAAAGGTTAGATTAAGGGTCTAAATAAAGGTCATGAGGACCAGAATCTAAGGGTCACAAGGGTCAAAATAAGGGTCTCTATTTTTCTACATGTTAAAAAACCAAATCGACGTCTGATGATGACAATTTGGTACTCGAAATTAAGACTCCAAAATTAAGGGTAAAAAACGATGGGTCAAAATAAGGGTCACGAGGGGTATAATGAGGGTCAAAATGAGCGTCACGAGAGTCTGATTAAGGGTCAGAATAAGGATCATGGGGATCGTATGGGATTGGCGAGCGAAGCGAACAGGGGGCGTAGCCCCCTAGTTTGATTCTATTATTTTCTCCATGTAGAGATATTGATTTTCATATTCCATATCGTAATTTTTTGAATGAAAAATGTCGATATCTCTCTGTCAGTCATTAGTATTTGCAACCTGAGCACTGCATCCTTTACATCTGATATGAAATGACATTGAGGGAACAACATAAAAAAACTTCTGTCATTTCGAAATAGCTGCTAAATTAACGCCGTTCCCTCGATTCCCATCATCCATTGAATAATTTCTCATTCCCCTGACATTTATGTATTCAGTTTGGACGATTATAAAGGCTATAATAATAATTTCCGTATAATAAAATGAATTTCAACTCACCCTCGAGCAGATACTCCAGGAGGCCGCTGCGGTATTACCCCGTGAGGAACGAATAGCAATGTTGGATGCAGTTCAAAGGGTATCAAGAGAGGCGTCTCGACGTCTGCGAAGAACCAGCTGTCCAGACCTCACCGCCCCAGGCACCCCGAAGCAAACGTACACGCCAAGGTAATTCATTTGAAATTTCAAATTTACCTTTTAAAAATATAACAATCAGATGTATGCCGTTGAATAACCGCATTTACGTAAAGTTTATTCATTTTTTTAAAGATTATTTTACTCACGTTAAAATAAACTGTCCAGTATTGTGACACGAGATTTGTCTGGATAAGTGACAGGGGTCTTTTATGTTTATCCCTCTCTCGATCCCTCTTTCACATCCAATTTTACCCCTTGATTGAACTCCTGACAGCGACATGTTTCGCGAATGTTCCGCTATAAACCTAAAACGTAAAAACACTTGCATGTAAAATGGTAGTTGAATGAAAAATAGATGGGAGCGGACTTTACGTTTTTCAATGCACTTTAAAAATGCATGAATTCTATTATGAGAATGAGAGTAAAAAAGGGTTAATCCCATTTAATTTGGGAAACTCTTTTAATGTATTGAATTTTTTTCTCTAACAGAAATCAGCGTGTCTTCACAGCAAAAATGAATGTCTGAATTTCACACACCTTTTGTAGACATTTTTCAGAAACTAAAAAATGTGTGAATAGAATGAAATTGTGTCTGAATTTCAGATGAACGGGTATCCAAACACCTTAATTCATGTTTAAAATTCAAACAAATTTTAATTTTATTCAGACGCTTTTTAGTATTTGACAAATGTCCACAGAAGGTGTGTGAAATTCAAATATTCGTTTTTGCTGTGTTGTTCCACTCATATGACCATTTTAGGAGAAATTATCAAGAGTCGTTTTCCATAAGATGTGTGTCTCAACTTTGAAAAAGGTCTCTCGACCTTTTTCAAAAATAAAATTACGATCAATAGCTCCATGTTTGCGTTAAAGATTGTAATGTCTTTTCGAAAAAAATGAAATGATTGGACTCATTTCCTGAATACAAGTGATAAAGTTTATTTCCCTATGCGATTGATTTCAGAAAAGTTTCCAACTGTTCTTCAACAGCAGACCCCTAAGAATTTCATTACGTTGGAAATTGTCAATCCTCAAAAACAATTCAGTCATATTTTACTGCATATCCCATTGAAATCCACGTAGGTGGACGTGATTGCACCCAATTTTTGGAATATCAAGGAAGGTTGTGGAGAATAGAGAGATGTAGGAAGGGATGTAACACCTCATCTAATTCGCGGAGGTGCACGGGAAAAGGGCAATTCAGCCCTCAGAGAATATTTCGAGATTACATATCGGGTACGAGTCAGTGGTGCCCGTTCGTGAATTGAAATGGGAACTCTCTAGGTTTCATCCCACGTCCCTTTATGTCTCCTCTCACTTCCAATACTCAATTTTACTGATAAAATCGGTAACTGCAGTCCCTGAGACTCTAAACTATTCAGAATCCCCTTTGATTATCTATTAATGAATCCAAAGCGTTGTACGAGTGAAATTGGAAATGTAACACTGGTCAGAAGGGGTTTCACCCCTTCTAGTCTAGTTGTGTATATTTGTATGTGTGTTTGTGTGAGTGTGTGAATGAAAAAAAAAATTCAAATGTTTTTAATTGATGGCTCCGGTCTCGACCCAGTCCAATGCAATCATGCTGAGTACACGAGTGGGTTCAGATCCCTTTACGTCTCCCATTCACGCTCCCTGTCGTTCTATTTCATCCTATTTACTCTTCGATGTTATTCGCGTTTTTACCATTTTTTAGCACACTCTCTTTTTCAATTACCTGATTTTCAATGGTATTTTCTATTTTTTTCTTATGTCAAACGAGTATATTAACGTAATCCAGTACTCGCTAAATAACATTGACATCCTGTGTGGACATACATGTGCTGGACTCAACTGTAATCATTCTTCAGTTTCCCTTTGACGCAGATCGTAATAACTCTTTGCTGCTAGACTCTTTTGAATTTCATAATTTCGGTTCTTTGAGGGTCTTTTACTTTCATCTTTCATTATTTTTTATTTTGAATTTATTCTTGATGAGATTCTACATAGTTAGATTGGCGAATCCCGCGCCTTTTATTTTTTTTCGATTATTGTAAAATAATAACTCAGTGCACTAATGAGTTTGTGATGTTATAAAGTCGCTTACGAGATAAACTGACCTTTGGTGTGGCCCTTTGCTGTGGCTTTCGAGCGGGATTCAAACGGGTCATAAATGTACTTAGTTAATGGTGCTGGTCGACCACCATCAATTTGCTCCTCTCAGTTTGAACATCGCCATGAATTCTCGGTGGAAAGACGTACTCGATTTGTGCAGTCTCTCATTGCCTCGTTTACATCGAACTCTAAAGAATCAAATCCAAACTGCCATATGATGGATTCTTCGTCAATCCAGCCACATATTTTTTTCAAGGCCTCCAAAACATCTGAAAAATTCTGTACTTTTTATACTCATTGATAGTATTTTCTGTGAATTTTTCCTGATCTTTTCAAGTATTCGTGCTCTGTAAAAAAGTTTTGTCTGACTTTTCCGTGCCAAATTCCGGAAATTTTCATCGTGTTGCAATTCCACTGAAATTTAAGGAAATCTTGTCATTGAAAAATCCGAATTTCGTGGAAAAAACAAACAGAACTGTAAATTTCTGTTCCATTTTTCCCGGAAAATGAATAGAAAACCAGAAAATTCTGGTAAATAAATTGTTGAATTTTCAGGACAGTCACACTGAATGCGATTTAGAGGGAAAAAATCATGAAATTTCATGAGATCATGAGATTATGAGATTTTACTGAAAATTCAATGCAATTATTTGACACTGAATAGTCATACTAGATTGGGAATTCAAATAAATTAAGGAATTCTCGTCTTTACGCCCCTTAAAATTCTCTAATTTTACTAAAGTTTAAGTAAAATCTGAAATTTCATGATTTTTTTCCCCTAAATCGCATTCAGTGGCACTGTCCTGAAAATTGGCGGTTAATTGTTCATGAAGTTTCTTTTTTTTTCTAACAGTGTGGTCGAGATGAATGGTTCCGACAAAATTTAAAAAAGTTGGATATTTGGGAAGGTGATCTCCGAGAAGAGAAAGTTTGGCATAAAAAATTCATGTTTTTACCTGAATTTGTCGAATAATTTTTTTATTTTAGGAAACAAGCGGATGTTGAAATTTTAAACTCTACAATTATATTTTTGAAAATTTTATTTCTGACACTGCTGCTACGTTCACCAAGTCTTTTCGTTTACTCGTAAACGTAAAACTCACAGTTCGACCACTCGCTGAATGTAACATCACTATCAAAATCTATTATTCCACACATGTGAGACGGGAATTTTCAGCTCGTGTGATTGGCAGCCCTCGACTTCGCCTCGAGCCGCCAACTTCACACTCGTGCAAATTCCGTCCCACTTATATCGAAATATACTATTTTCACACATCTGCACGGAAAGGTCATACTTTGCATCAAAATATCCATAAAATGGAATCAGTCTCGTTTTTGAAGGCAACGACGTCCGAATTTTATCAAACCGTGTTATTGATGAAAAAACTAAATTTTTCTTTCTATGGCCTTCAGATCGGAAAGTTACCTAATGGATCCACCCTCGATGCCCCCACCCCCCCGCCACCACAGCATAATAACAGAGCACCAGAAACAATTACAAAAAGAAATACTGGAAATGCACGACAGTCTGTCACGTGGGTTATGTCCAAGGAATACCTCAACCTCCTGGGACACAAATTCAGGGCTCTCCTGGACGTCCTCGCTCCGCTCAATCGGAAGGAGCAGACTCCGCAGAAGTCGACCACCAATTTGGGACAGCACTCGTACGTATGCATGAGGGTCGCCCATACCCTCGTCTATCTGAGGATAGTCCGAGAATATCGAATTAATTTCGGGTAATTTGAACTGAGGCAAAAGGGAATGGTTAAAATGAATAATTTTCAGGTACTTCACCGATGTGGGACAGTGTTAGTAGTAATGGTAATTTCACCAAGTGCAAATCTGAGGAGATGATCAGCCGTGAGGAGTCACCGAAGTGGAGCAATTCGGACGGTAGAATTTCGAGAAGTGAAATTGCTGGTGACGATGAGATTCTCCCGTCTTGGGAATTTCTCGAAGCAACCTTGAATCAGAAGTTGCTTCATTACAATACTAGTGATAATAATGGGCCTGATAATGAGCTAAATCACCTAAAGTTATGACAAAATTAGTGAATAATTGATGAACATCCTACTTCTCCATATATCCTACTATATCCTTCTACATATCCTACAATATTCTGTTTCTACACGGAAGGAAAAGTTGGATAAAAATTGTGTTATATTTTACTGTACGAAAGGCAATCGTGGAGTCAAATAATAGTACATTATGTCATGAGGGCGATAAGCGGCGGTTTGTGAGGAGTGTGGAGTTGCAGCAAGAGGCGTGGCAAGCAGGAGACGAGGATCGCCGAAGGCGATCCGAGTCGGACGCTTGCCATGCCGAGTGTTGCAAACTCCACACGACTCACAAACCAACGCTATCGCCCGAATGGCATATACTATTTTTCGTCACGAAGGCCCGACGCGGGTGTGGGCGCGGGAGGGGGTCCAGGGGGACGAAGTCCCCCTGGTGGGGGGGGTTGGGGGGGGGCGAAGCCCCCCCCCACTGAAGAAAAAAATAAAAGCAATAGAAAAAAATAAATCGAAATAAAATCAATATCAGTTGATGCGAAAATAAATAACTAGTAAAGTCCGCCAAAATATCCAAAAACAGTAGGTTGATGACGGTAATTTTGGACCTGTGAAAAGAAAATTGCATAAAAAATAGAAAATAAGAACAGATATCAAAGATAAAAGAAGATACTCAGCTGTTCAATTTTTCTTCTTTTATTAAGAACAGAAGTCGACGTTATAAATACTGATATTTTAGAAATTGTTGTTTTTTGAACAAAAATATCAACTTTAAATTGAACAAAAACTCGGAGAGTGACTTTTTTCTAATGATAAATCTTCTCAATGACACACAACAACATGGCTACCACTAGTGGGTTAAGTTGTAGAGAAGGCCGCTAGAGGCGCTGTACAGCTCATCCGACTATACGTTTACCCGAACGCAGAGCGCATGCCCAAGTGGGGGGAACGTCAGGGCACATGGTGACGCCCACTTTATCGCTCCTAGGATGGGTAAGTGAGATTTACCCTCCTTGGAGCACCGAGCGTCTCATTTACCCTCCTTGGAGCACCGATTATTCAAGTGCCGCGGTAAACTCTCTTTACCCCCTCTCGACAGAGCCCGAGTAAGCGCCGTTTATCGGGCCGAGTGACGAAAACCACTTTTCGACTTATATCAGACCCGGAATTAAGATTGGCCTAGTCCGCGTCACTCGGTCTGAATCAAGCCGAAAATCGGTTAGAACCAAACCGACGTCGACTTGAATCAGTACTTTTTTTGTTGGGTGTAACCCCTTGAGTTATATCTTCTCTGTGGTTACGGAAATTGCCCTGGAGTATCTGAAAATTTAGCCTGTTTTAGTGGTAGGAACGGAAAAAAATACATTCAACACATTCGGCCAAAGCTACTTATCACCCTTTGACTGGTAAGGAGAAAAGTGCAAGAAAATTCTTGAACATCTGTAAAAATATGTCTCTTCTATCCTATCCTGGTACAATTGAATAATTTCACCGAAACCTGAATTCAATTTTACAGAATTTATTCAAGGTTTCCCTTTTAATTCTCCATTAATTAGAAATTCAAAGATTGTGCATGAATTATGCTTTGAGCATGAATCTTTTTCCATGTGCGATTACACCAACCATTTTGTGGGTCCTCAAGAGGGCAAATACGTACATGCGGGGGAATGTAAAGGACCTCTCGAGTCCAAGTGGCACTCAACTCCACATTTATTCATTCGTCAAACATAAACGAGCATCAAAGTAGTTTCGAAAAATGCAGGAAAAATGAATCTCAAATTTTTTTTATTCACATACTGTACGTGGAATAATAAATCGGAGTACAAGATGAGAAATTTCATTTTTGACGAATGTGAAGTATACACACACCTTCGTTGAAAACGCAATTTATGGCCGAGTGCTCTGTACTATTTCAGTTGATTTCGTGGGGAATTCGAGTTTAACGCACGGAATGAACTAAATAATATTATATCTATTATTTAGAAAGATATTTCCATCAATTTTCTTCAGCCCCTGACGTATTCCTCTCTGGTTGTCGTTAACCCTCGTCAATCATCGAAGTTAGAGGTCCAGAAAAGAAATTCGTGGGACATAACAGGAGAAAAGGATCATTTATCCTTATTACGATTGCCCTTCATTCTAGAAATGAAATGAGTGATGATTAAAACCAGTTTCAGGGTCTAGAGATGAGGCTCAACATTTATAGATTGGTCGACAAATTCGATATTATTAAGGATGTTGGCCTATCTATCAGTGTATGAATCTGGCACATCAGACAATATCAAAATTATGGTGAATAATGTGGTTTTCGGCTAACCATCCTTCACAGAAATTGTAAACAAACGGTTTTTGTGTCTTTTTAATCTATGGAGATGCGCACTTAATACTATTAGTGTAGCCAGCAATATCCAACCAATTAGTAGTTTGCATCGATTTGAGGTAATCAAAGGAAGTCAAATAAAGCCTAGTAGTACCTAGTCAGACACCAATATACCATTTCCCATTAGTAATTAGCCCCATACATGAGTGACTACAGTGCTCAAAGCAACATCTACTCCATTCCCCTTTAACTTCGAGCCACTATCGAATTTTCTGTGTATGTTGAAACATAGGAGAGGAGTTGGCTCCCTTTCGAATGAGTTCTAGTGAGTTTACGTTGTTTTGTTATAATTGAACGTAGTGTGGGTCACTATCCAAATTTCTCCGAACATTAATTATCAGAATATTGATATTAATCCAATTAACACTCCGTTGGTTGCGCTATGAGGGCTACGGTGCAATTTTTTCAATTTTTTAATAACACTTCAGTAAAGCGTCAGTAAATATGAAATCGCATTTTTAAGATTCAAATCGATTTTTCGACGTGATTCGAGCCGATTTGGGGCTATGGGGCTTCGTCAACCGGGAAAAGGTTTTACATAAGGGGGTTGTGTGGGACAGGGTGCATGAGGGGGAGGGGGTTGTACTGAATTCTCGATGTGCAGCCATCCCGTAATCGACTTAGCTCGTCGATGAGTTTTTCAAGGATATCTCCGAAATTAAGGGAGATAGCGAATTTTTACTTAACAATTGCGGATTGAGAAGGGGTGGATTGGTGTGTATTGAGAATTCACAACAACAAAAATTTAGAACCCCCACCTCTCCCCCTAGGTTTCTTAATAAAAATTCGCTATATCCCTTAGTTTTGGAGATATCCTTGAAAAATTGAGCGACGAACTAAGTCGTCTACAGGATGGGAGAGGTGTACTGAATTCTCGATGGGGAATCCCCTCTCCCCTATGCATGAGGCTCCCGAAGGAAACCTCATTGACAATGTACATCGAGAATTTAGCGGCAAATCGGCTTGAACCAAACCAAGAAACCGGCTTGAATGAAACCGAAAATCGGTTTGAATGAAACCGAAAATCGGTTTGAATCAAACCGAAAATCGGTTTGAATCAAACCAAAAAATCGACCTGAATCAAGCCGAAGTCGGTCTGAATCAAGTGGAAAAATCTACTTGAATCAGACCGACATTCCAGTTTGCATCTGCCCGAGTCCGACTTCATTCAGGCGCCGTCAATTCGACATGAAATAAGTCAATGCCCGACATGATTCAGACCGATTTTTCGATCTGATTCAGAGCGACTTTTTTATGGGTGTACATTTTCCTGAAACTTCGCACTTGGGTGGAATTTTCATGGTGGAACATAAAAACAAATCCAAGTGGCCTAGGGGAATTGTTTATAGGGAAAAATTTATAAACCCATGAAAAATAGGTATTCTGCATGCGCAACTTGGAATAGCGATATCGTCGAGGTTAGGAATCGTGGAGAGGTTAGCGTGGCAAATACGAATGGAGTTGTGATGAGACATTTCGCTATATGGGGAGGAACTTAACAGGTGAGTGAATCTGTGCTGCCAACTTGCGCGTCTAACGGCACGCCGTTATCCCTTTTTCCATCTATATTAATTATTTTCCAATTATCCAAAAGACAAGCTAGAAAAATAAAAAAGGCTTGAAATATGTGGGAGAAAAATAGAAAAGTTATTAAACAAAATATTTCGACCACAAAAATGGTCTCACCTCCTACGTGTTCACTCCGCGATAAATACCTTAACCTTTCAACTCCATTCTATGCTTGGTCTTTATGCTTGACTGTCACATTTGACTTTTGCCCTATACCCCTATGTTCCTCAATTGTTTTCATCTTTACGGAAGATTCTTATCGACTCCTCCTTCTCACTAGTATATGGACAGCCCCTTAATTTCCTTGTCTAGAAAATTATAGGGAGTACTGAGAGAAAATATGGAAATCTTCAATTCTAAGAGCAATGTGCAATGAACAAAGTCTAAATTAGCCACTCTAATCCTGAATTTTCTCATATTTCCATTCTACATGTTAACTACGAAAAAATCTCATCTACCCTTAATCCTCTCCGAAATTACGGCCATGTAATCTTCCGTTTAATAACCACAGCCAAATTTTCCTTCTCTGGAAAGAAAATACATTTCATTCGCCACAATTCATTTAGCCCCTTGTAAAATAAGAAAGATGAAAAATGGTAGCTGCCAATCTTTACAATGGTTAATGCCTCAATTAACTCCAATTTTCGGAACAGTGTCTGGGAAAAAGAGAGGGAGGGAGAGAGAAAAAAAATCTGTGTATATATGCAAGTGATAAAGAGGGGGTTGGTTTCCTAAGTTGAATTAGCGAGGAGCTGAAAGCGTCTACGTTTGCACGCATTAACCGTAAATTGTGTTTATTATGCATCCGGCAGTGGAAGGCGGGAGGCTATAATATTATTGTAACTGCTAGGTCGTACACGAAACCCACTAGGTTGCTTTTAATGAAACGCATTTATTATACCTGTTCTTCTCTCCGCACTTTTAGCTTTTTGCAGTTTACTTCGGAAAATTTTACCTCACTCTTCAATTTTTTTCATCTTAATATCCTTATCCCTTTCGTTATTGGAAGGGGTAATGAGGGAAGCAAATCTTCAGAATTTCGTACCTAAATTTTCGTAATCCATTGTCAATTATGGTCTTAATCAGGATCAAGCTCTCTGCAGCTCATGGAATCGATTTTCACAACAATAGTAGTGCTTAAGGCTTTCGAACGGAAATATGAATTTTGCGGGCACAAAATCGGGCGTGGCTCATGCAGAGAGTGCGGATATTGGAACGATGCGTCAATTTTTTTTCGCCGGAAATTTTATACTCCACAAAAAAGAATCTTTGCATTTTTCACGTAACTTTTAAGCGTTCTAGTAACGCCTATAGATGAACATATTATGCGGCGTGAAATTTTCACTCATAAAAAAGTCCTCTAAAAGTCAGGGACGTTCTCAGCAATTCTCAGAATTTTTTACTTGAGTAAGACCCATAAGATAAGCAGGGCTGGCACGCACACTACTATAAAACACGAGGAGCTGGTCACTCCTTAATCAAATGACTCAGTGATTTCCAGAATTAGATGATTTCCTGTGATTTCCTGATAATTTCTGTGATTGACAAACCGAAAAATCGGCTTGAATCAAACCTATAAATCGGCTAAAATCAAACCGATAAATCGCCTTCAATCAGACCTATAAATCGGCCAAAATCAACCCGATAAATCGACTTGAATCAGACCGATAAATCGGCTTGAATCAAACCGATATTCCGGTGGGCATCTGCCCAAGTCTGACTTCATTCAGACCGACTTTTTTGGGTGTAGAACACCTTTATATGAATTTTTCCTACGCATAGAATCAGGAATTTCTTGAAATGTGTAACTTGCTTCTGGAACGAGAAACATTTCCTTTGTTATTACGTTCTTGTCTCATCAGAAGATCAGACAGTTCAACAAAGGGAGCGATTTCCCAGAGTATGTGACTTAAATTCTACATCGATTATGGTTCTCGCCGATATGGGATCCTTCCTCTTCTACCAGGTTCTTCAATATCGGTACATTTTTACGTGAGATATTTCCGAAGGTAAATCACGGTAAAATCGTTAATTAGTTCACCGAGACCGGCAGCTAGTAGAGGCTATAGTAATTAACCATTCCTAATGGAAACCCTCACACCATCAACATCTACCTCAGTCCTATCGATTCGTTCGGTAGTCTTAAGCCGTTGCATCCCCGGTACCCTTAAAATATCCTCTAAATATTACCCTGTTACTCCTTCGAGGTTTTATTTTACAGGCTTTTTACGTTTTTGCATTTTTTGAGGACGTCGAAGTGAACAACTTGTAATTGGTAACTGGCGGATGGCCAAGGAGGCTTTTCCGACGATGGAAAATGGTAGTTTCACAGTAGTTATGAGAAAAAAAAATTGTATTTTTTTATGATAATAATTTTCATCTGAATTTTCACTACGAAATTGGTTTGGAGAATGAGGCAGAGAAATTTGTATATTTCTGGTACAGTTTTTCACACCGGTACATTTTCGGATCTAAACACGCGAATCTCGTACTATAAATCTTCCGCATCCTCATGTGACAGGTAATTTGGAATGCGCATCATTTTACAATGCAAATAAAGTTTCTTTTTGCAATTAATGGTTGGAAATTTTGAAATTTATGTAACACTATGCGAGTGGAATCTCAATCAGACTACAATAGAAGTCCAATCAGTAACAATTGATTTTGATCGGTTCTGAATCAGAAATGTAAGACTTGTTTGGATCCATGCCTGATCAAAATGTGATTTTCTGGTGTTATTATTACTTGGAGAATTCATCTTTTGTCTGTTTACGTCTGACCGTAGACTGAGAAAATAAGAGAAAAAGAAGGTTGAGCTCAGACTGGTCTGTCATAAGATTGTTTTCATATAGAACGAGAAGAATTGGAATTAAACGGGTTTAATAATAAATTTATAATAAATTTGTGTCTTTTGATTAGTGTTGAATTTTCCCTGTGTTGAATTTCTTTTGAGTTGAACCGGTTTAGTATTCAATTTATTTGTGTTCAGTTGTGTGTGTGATGAATTGACGTGTTGAGATTAAATTATTATGTGGTAATTAGTCCTATTAAATGAATTAATTAAATTTAACTTCGCTAAGATATTTTGCTCTTGAAAATGTTCAAGTCACCAGTTTCTTGATATGAAAAAAGACGTACTTCTCAAAAAAAAAAATTTCTCAGTGTAGGAGATCGTTGGATGTCGTTCAAGTAATGTAAACTCTCATCATGCTCTGTAAAAAAAATATTACAATGCTCCATCATTATCGCATTTTCTGTCTCACATATAAGCAGCTTAAGTCGTAAATGTCGTCATCCCTACAGAATTTCTATTTCATCTGTTTTTCAATACTCATCTTCGTCCAACGTCGAGACCAATTCGCCCAGTCCCGTACTAGTCTAATGACATTAAATCCCACCTAGTTAGCATAAAACCACGGGGTTACACTCAAGAGCGAACATTGAGTAAAACCGACAAATCCTATCACTTCAAATATTAATTTTTTAACAAGAGAAATTCTGTTGTTTTATTTTCATCATCTCGGACGTTTTCTTGTGCCATTAACGAAATACCGAAGAAAAATCGCTGGAGAGAATCCAAACTAATCAGATAAAAGTATTAAGAGTGTTAGTTTATCAAATACCTGGATCTGGAATTAATTAAATGAAGGATTGGAAAAATAGACGATAAAAATTTTATTAAAATTCTCATTAGTTTTTTACAATTAAGCAAATTTATTTGTTTGGGCGGGGGGGAGAGTGACGAAGGAATTTTCCTATGAGAATCCAAACTACTAAAACGCTCAATTTCATTCAATGTAAAACTGTGCTTTTATTCGCGTCATTGGCTCGTGTACCCGGTAATTGAATGACGGGAAAATTAAGGTAATTTTAATTCTTGGCTCTTGGACGATGTCACTGACGGCAGTGGGTGAAACTCCCTCATTCCTCTCTCATCCCTTCTCTGCCCCTCACCGTCCCTCTTCCTTCTACCAATTCTCCCGCTCACCCCATATCACTGTGGTCTTTCGTCAGAAGTGAGAGGAACAGAGATGAAAATCGACGAGAGAAAGCGATGAAAATAGAGAGGGTTGAAATCGGGGTCTTGCGCTTCTGCGTTGCGTTTGCAAGGGGCTAGGCAAGGGGTGAACGAGAGGGAGGAATAGAGGGAAAATGGTACTACCGTTTTTCGCTTGTATATGTGCGCCAGCGCAGTTTCAACTATGCGGTTGGATCTCAGTCTCACAGCCTCCCTTCCGTGGTCCGTATCAGCTTCTCGTGAGAGGTGTGTCGATCGCGTTCGCGCTCGGTATTTCCCCCGTATATCAACCACGTATATTGAAATCTTCATGTGAATTCCTCCTTTTGAGAATGAACGAAAAATTCCTTCTCATTGAATAATAAAGTCGTGATTTGCATTTCATTTTTAACTTCAAAATAAAAATTATTTTTTCCCTTTTGTTGTTGTTTTTGCATTTATTTAATAGGTTATCAGTGCTAACTATTGCTTTGAAATTGATTGTTGAATTTTTTTTTTGTATTTGTGAGTTTTGAGTTTCGTGACCCAGAGAGAAAGGGTTTGAACACTTTTGGAATGTGGAAAATCCCTTGACCGGGATTACTCAACGGCACGTGACTTGGTAAGGTTTTATTTTTATTCACCACCTTTTGTTTCCATATATGATACTGAAACAACACAGTGACACACAATGCAGTTTTTCCGTTGAGTAAATAAAACCTAGTGAAGTACCAGGTGTCATTGAGCTGTGGACGGAGTTTTGTCGACTTTTTAGAGGGCTATTAAGGTTCTAAAAAAGATCGTCAAGGTGGTGTTTGACAGGAAGTTTTCGTGTAAAAGAAAATATCAGGTTTTTTTGGGACGATGTTTCTTTTTCATTATGTTTTCAGTTGGTGCGAATTGTTTGTAGGGGGAGTTAGTTGGTCAGGGACTTGAGAAGTGGGATACTGTGTCATTCATGCTCCAGTGGGAGTCGAGAGAGGGCAATTAGATGGTACGAGACCATGAAGTAATTAAACCACTGCACCTTTGCTCACACGATTCTATTCTCCTTTTTTTATTCTTTATGGTGAAAGAAAAATTACAAAGAAATTGCGTCGGAGTTGCAGAAAAGGTGCGCTGAAGGTCAAATGCTTTTGTTTTGAGCCATGTTGTTCGGTCAGCCTCATGTAGAATGGACCACCTGTAATGAAATTTTTTATACATTTGAGGTAATACTCTTCCGGGACAAATCGAATTAATAGAGATTGAAATAATTCTTCAAGAGGAAATCGAGTGAATAAGACGAATGAAATCAATCAGTAATAAAACCGCGAGAATGAAAATAATACCCCTAAATAGCCAAATATCTGCGAGAAAGGAATTATTATCGACAATATTCATAAGATAAATGATAAAAATTATCACGAAGAATTCGAACCCATAGTCAAGTAAATCGATCCTCATAATTTACAAGTGAATTTTGAAAATTATGTTAAATGAAATTTTTTTTTTTTATTACTGAGATTATAAAATACGCGAGTAGAACAATTACGAGGAACTTAATTACGTAAATGAAAGAAGAAATCGTCATGATTAATTTGCCATATATTCTCATTGAAAAAACAATGGAATTTATCGCATAAAATGTCAACAATTTTATTATAATAAATTATATAGCCCGCGATCACTCATTACACTCGACTCACGCACGAAAATTATTAATAGTTTTATTTTCACAAATGATCGATCAAATAGCTAGTCAAATATTTTTTTTTATTTACGATTCGCATTGTCAAAGTTTGTAAAACATGAAGTCAATTTTAGAAACAATCGCCTCGAAGTCTTTTTAGTTATAGCATCAATGAGGCGCTCCGTTCTCCAGTAAAAAATCAAGCACTACTCTTTTAAAATTTGATATTGTGTTGAGATTGTTGAACGATCTCGATAGAAAAAGGCGGCAACGAGATCAAAACAGTATTAATACTTCTTGAATACGATACAATTACGTGTCGACAGGAGAAACAAAATGGATATCCATTAACAATTAAAGGAGAGTACTTACCTCGGCGCCGGACAGATGAGAACAGAGAGCGCGGCAGGGTGTCAAACTGACTCGTACCTCATTATCCATGTGGTGACTTTTATTTTAATTTCTGTGTTTCTAAATCCCTAGATTTTATCGGTAAATTCGCAGGTTATTTGAACTATTGTGGTATTTCTTATTCTCTGTGATTTTCAAAATTTAATAATCGTACACAACTAAGTGAGAATTCTTTAATATAGTAGAGCTGTTTTGTAACAACGTTCAAATAACAAAAAGTACCTTGAAAACAGTGATAGGCATATCAATCAATCTTAATTACCGTTAAATTGTGAAGTTTTAACATTAATCTTAAAATTTTTAATATTCAAGGAACCATCAATTTGTACATTTAAATTTCGAAATATTCTATCAAACAATAATTTAGGTAGGAAGGTAGACGACTATTTGGATAATCGAAAATCAAGTACCTAAAGTTAGAATTAGCTGAAGGCGAAAAGTGGTTTATTTCAAGTAGAAACGTGTCAAGCCGACATCGGTTTGAATGAAACTGAAAAACGGAGTGATTCACGCCGATATCATGCCTGTTTCAATTAGTAGATAGCGACTTGCTTCAAGTCGATTTTTCAGTTTGATTCAATTCGATTTTTCGGTCTGATTCACGTTGATTTTCGGTCTCATTCAAGTCGATTTTTCGGCTTTATGCAAGCCGATTTTTCAGCTTGATTGAAACCGATTTTTCAGTTTGATTCTGGCCGATTCTTCGATTTGATTCCAGCCGATTTTTCGGTTTGATTCTAGCCGATTTTTCGGTTTGTTTCCAGCCGATTTTTCGATTTGATTCCAACCGATTTTTCGGTTTGATTCAAGTCGATTTTTCGGTTTGATTCTAGCCGATTTTTCGATTTGATTCCAGCCGATTTTTTGGTTTGATTTAAGCCGATTTTCGACTTGATTCATGTCAATTTTGGGTCATGGAACTTCGTCAATGGGGAGAAGGTTTTACATAATGGGATCTTTGTGTAGGACGGGGTGCATGGGGGTGTAGCGTCTCATCTGCAGACGCACATATCTACGCGTTGCCCACGGACACAGAGGAAAGGATGATTGACGGACGAAGGAAACTCCCGTGCTGTCTCACTCGCTCCCTGTTGTGTCACGCGTATATTTCGGATTAATTCCATCTATGGAATTGGGCTGTTTTGCGAATTGAGAAACACCTCAACGAGGCAGTCCAGCACCGACCGCCGAACACTCAGGAGTGAACACCTACTCCTTACTTTCAGATTCAGTTCGACTCGATTCAGACAGTTTTTCTTGTCTGTATCAGGATACAAGTGAAAGAGCCGAAGGTGAGGTCAGTATTTAAACTCGTCAGGAAGTACTTTTTTTCTGACATATCGTACGATATGTTCTGATATTGGGGAGGAAAGTGCCTTTTTTTCACTTGCATCATAAAAATTCTTAGAAATGAAGGAATTATTCAAGTACTTTGACGGAAATTTCAATGTAGTTTTGAATACGATTCACCATTTCAGGACAAATTATATGACAGTCAGTGAATTTTTTGTAGGGAGCGGTGAAAATTCATTATCCCTTTCACGCTTTCCCCTTAATATTGCGTGAAAAAGACATTGAAAGAAATTTCGTTCCTCGATTACATGATTTTGTCTGTAATTTACCCTCTTTTTTAGTAGACTGATGTGGAAGTCTTACAGAATATTTAACATAATCAACTAATAGGTTACAATGTTTCTTCTCATGAAAGCCCTATTCAGCGTATCCCCGAGGGCTAGAACTCTAGACGTAGACATGCATGAAACATGAACATGAAGATGAGTTTGCTTTATTACGCGATTCTGAGAATACCAGGAATAATATTTTCCTTCGGCAAGCTGTCAATATAGTTTCATTGCGTTCACATGCTTCTTTCAATCAAAATGAAAATGCGTTGATGTCACTGCCAACAGCATGGCTAATTATCTTGTAAGTCTGAAGGACCAAAAGTGTAAAATTCCTATTATGTTCATTTATTAGTGAAGTATGTAAATGAGTCCTTCCAAATAAGAAGCCATGGAATCTATCCCAAATGAATGAAACAGATTCCAATTAATTTCGTTTCCATTCGTTTGTTTTCGAAAAGTGGGAGTCGTGGGTTATTGTCAATAATATGGTGAATAACCTACGAGTTTCAATTTATCGAATAAAGAAATTGGAACAGAAATAATAGGAATCCGTTTTGTTTCATCTAGAAGTGGTGCCATATGGCCTCTATGAGATGTTGCAGAGCACACGGACTTCATTGTTGAGAACTACAATAATTTATTTTAGTGTAATGTCCAAAAATAATTTTTCTATAATTTTCTTGGGAATTCATCATCGGTACAAAATTCGTATTATGAAATTAAGAAATGACCAACTTGATCCGTCATTTCCCAATTTTATTTCCTCAACATACATTTGCCACCCGTAAAGTTAACGAAATCGAAGATAGAACAATCCATGCTATTGCTAACTGATCAGCGGAAAATCCAGGCGTTGCACTACACAGTTCAGTGAGTCATCGCTCAATGAAATAATTAAAATCATAAATTAAATCATTCGTTTATCGCTTCTCGTCCCGAGTGGTCGAGTCTTAAAGGGAGGGAAGGGCTTCCCTCCCTTTAAGAGAAATCCAAATTTCTTAATGATCGCGAAATTATTGAATTACTGGTGGAAAATGTTCACGAAATCGATAACCTTGTTACCCTTCAGACCCTTGGACCGACTTTCCCCCCGGAAAAATCCAAGATCCGACACTTTGGCCTCCGGTGAAAATTTTTTTTTTTCATTTTTCACTTTTTCCACATACTTTTGATAGTTCTGAATAGCCCGTCGCTTAAATAGTTGGAATCAACGTTCCCCCGGCTAAAAAAATAGATTTTGGCGAAAATCCACTTGCCCCGGAAAACCCGAAAATCTGACCCTTTGGCTGGGGCCAAAAAAAACGGTTTCTCAGTTTTCACTTTTTCCACATACTTTTGATAGTTCTGAATAGCCCGTCGCTTAAATAGTTGGAATCAACGTTCCCCCGGCTAAAAAAATAGATTTTGGCGAAAATCCACTTGCCCCGGAAAACCCGAAAATCTGACCCTTTGGCTGGGGCCAAAAAAAACGGTTTCTCAGTTTTCACTTTTTCCACATACTTTTGATAGTTCTGAATAGCCCGTCGCTTAAATAGTTGGAATCAACGTTCCCCCGGCTAAAAAAATAGATTTTGGCGAAAATCCACTTGCCCCGGAAAACCCGAAAATCTGACCCTTTGGCTGGGGCCAAAAAAAACGGTTTCTCAGTTTTCACTTTTTCCACATACTTTTGATAGTTCTGAATAGCCCGTCGCTTAAATAGTTGGAATCAACGTTCCCCCGGCTAAAAAAATAGATTTTGGCGAAAATCCACTTGCCCCGGAAAACCCGAAAATCTGACCCTTTGGCTGGGGCCAAAAAAAACGGTTTCTCAGTTTTCACTTTTTCCACATACTTTTGATAGTTCTGAATAGCCCGTCGCTTAAATAGTTGGAATCAACGTTCCCCCGGCTAAAAAAATAGATTTTGGCGAAA